AAGCGGCAGAAATGGACATTTTATCAGAAGTGTTGAAAGACTGTCCAATACAAAAGGCAACTGAATGGTGGGATTTATTTTATAAATGGTTCGAGTCACCAGATAGTGTTTGAATAACATAGATCTAAACTAGGATGTGAGTTAAAACTTGGAGGGCAGCCAATAGTAGAAAAGCGGAAAGTTTGAATTTTGATACTGCAATATGAATAGACTAGATGTCAGTATATTTTGTGTTTCTCCTCCCCCTCTTTTTCCCCCCTTACATTCTCCTTTACCCTCTGTATTCCATATCCTATCTCAAATTATTTAATAATAAAAAATAAATAAAATAAAAGCTGAATTGTCATTCCCAAAGGCTTCCAAGCATGATCACACACCTGGACTGTGGAATGCCAAAAGGCACCCTTTTGTCCCCACTTCTGTTTCCTAACTGTATAAGAGTGTTGCATCTTGAGGTGACGCTCTGTTCGGCTTCTCAGTAGCAGAGGCTGGATGTAATAATAAAGTCAGCCCGATGGCAACAATTTTCTGAAATTAAGGACACACACACCCAGCTTGTGCCCTCCCAACAGCTTCCTCATGATGAAAGGGATTCTGTAAGAGCCTTGAGAGCTTGGTGGGGTGGGATGGGAGATCAGAAATGTTTTATTTCTGAAAAATCACCACAGCTAATGATGCCATTAGCTGTACATGGCACAGCTGAGCAAAGAGGGTTTTAGCTATCAAAGTGAAAGTAATACAGTTATCAATAATAATTTACTTTTCTTCTTAGCAAGATGCCATGGCATTACATTTCAAAAGAAGTGTAATTAGGATAGTACATTGGTGTAGCAAGTAATGTTCTCTACCTTTAAAATAAGTACATTTTAAGGACAGCTTTAAGCAGTTTGGGTGGTAACTGGACAAGAATAATTCAAATTTTATGCTATTCTCTTAACAATTGTAAGCCCCTCCCATAAAACACAATAAATTGAGTGAGATAAGTGGCAACAACAAATTACTTCTCAAGCACCCTAATTAATAGTGCCTGATTCGGTGTAAGCTGAGTTTCGGGTATAGAGAGAAAGATGGTTGGCAAATAGCTAAATAGCTAAACAAACACACAAATAATCTTTGAAAATAAGCTTTCCAAACCCTGTTAAAGATGGTGGCATCGTTGACAGCTGGCATGCCACACTGTAGAGAGATTAAGTGAACCCAGAAAGGGGAAATGAAGGCACAACACAGTGCTGCTCTCTCTAAGACTGCTTTTCTAGCAGTGTCATGGATTGCTTTGTGTGTTAGAATCAAGGTAGGCAAATTCTTAATGCTAGGCCCTTCTGACACATAATTACACTCTTTGAACTACCATTTAGTGGAAACTCGCTTCTATAGCACAGTTAGCATGAGGATCAATCCTCACTGCCTGAGATTACTGTACTTTTAAAATCTTATTCCCCTTCAGAAGAGCCTTGTGGCCGACCTCGACTTTACAGTTATATAATAATTTTGCTTGACTGGGACATATTTTTATTGGACCAGAATTTTTCTTGTATCGGTGATGTATAGGAGATTGGTGCTAAAGTAAAAGGCTGAGAGTTAGGAGTGGGAGTGACAAATATGAATCATCATACAATATGGGAAATTCTCATCTCTTCTATAACTGCAGATATTTGTCATTGTTGGCAGCAGGTGACCTTCTGATGATTTATGCTTTGATATCACACATTGTTGCTCGTGGGGTACAGGGATCATATGACAGGTACGTTGGATCATGTGTGAACAGAAGCTGGTTGTAGGAATCACAGTGTAGCAGGGATTAAAGAGAAAAATCCATTGGAGAAAAACCTCAGAGAAAGCATACACAGTTTTCTCTCATGGATAGGCAGAGCACGGTCAACTTAGTTCTTCAAACTAAAACGCCTAGGTGTTTTTAGTTTCATTTTTAAGATTTATATCCTGCCATTTCTTCTAAGGCTAACAAGATCACACTATCAAAATGGCAAATTACAAGCACTTAAAATACTAAGTATTTGCCATGCAGGCCGACTTTTATGTCTGAGGAAATGGACTTGTCCACAAAAGCTCACATTAAAATCTAGCAGTCTTTCAGGTGCCACAAGATTTTTGTCTTCTTTTTAATTTTTTTATTTGTTTTTGCTTAGAGATACTAGTTATGGATGTCTGCTAAAATGTTTTAAATTGGTGCCTAAAAGACAAACGGAGGATATCCAGATGTCTGACAAAAAGCAGTTTCATAATTAGAGTGTCACCACCAAGAAAACACTGCCATGTGTGGGTGAACCTTGAGGACATGTTATTTTACGACTCCACAAGCTGAGCTTTCCTGGCTGATCTCGGATCCTGGGTAGCTCAGTACTGGGGAAAGCCTTCAGGATCTATGTCCTGAGAAAATATCTCTACTAGTTGTGAGAAAATTCTGCTCACTCATGACCATGTAAGTATTATTGTACTTCAGTGTATTTAATATCTGTGGTTATCATGGGCTGTTATTACGATATCTTTTCTTCACAACTACTATTTTTCTAATGCTATTGCATGAGACACTGGGACGTGGTGGCGCTGCGGGCTAAACTGCAGAAGCCTGGTCTGCAGGGTCAGAAGACCAGCAGTAGTAAGATCGAATCCACACAACGGAGTGAGCTCCCGTCGCTTGTCCCAGCTCCCGCCAACCTAGCGGTTCGAAAGCATGCAGATGCAAGTAGATAAATAGGGACCACCTTGGTGGGAAAGTAACAGCGTTCCTTGTCTAAGTCACACTGGCCATGTGACCACGGAAGATTGTCTTCGGACAAAACGCTGGCTCTATGGCTACGAAACGGGGATGAGCACCGCCCCCTAGAGTCGAACACGACTGGACAAAAATTGTCAAGGGGAACCTTTACCTTTACCTATTGCATCATGAGACATGACACGTGTATGTGAAAGAGAAGGTGAGTGCAGTTTTTTGCCAGCCCTGATTAAGCAAGAGAGATTCTTCATGATAATGCCGTATGTCCTCCTTTAGGGAGGACGGTCCTCCCTTTCAGGAGATGTCCTACTTTTTGGTGACATCTAAGTGGCCACCCTGCCCCTGCTCCTAGCGAGCTTCCCTGGCTGTGGAGGGAGAGCAGATTCTTTTTTAGTGATTCCTTGTTGCCCATGTCCTTTTTGGCAATGGAGCCGTGGCTACCCTACTTCATCTCAAAATTATGGGGTGTGCATCTGTTGCTTCAGTCACAAGCCATGCCTAATCAGTAGGTCACAACTCTTTTGCATTATGATATTACACAGATTGTACCACTGGTCTTCTGAAACATCCCTCCAGAGATTAGAAGATTAGCAGAAAAGGGTAAACAGTTCAGTTAACTCTTAGTAAGCACAAAAAAAAAATCAAATTCAGTTAAGATTAAGAGGAAGGGAAAATTTGTTAACAATTAAGTTGATGCTCAATTGTCATTTAAATGTATTTCAATAGTGTAATAAGGTCATACCTGAAAATTGGAAAACGTCCTTTCATTGTTTTACTTTCCTCCACCCACCCTCTCCCACATGTTTTCATCCACCCTCTCCCACATGTTTCCAGAAAACATCTATGTGAAACTGACTTGGTGACCCACAACTATTAATGTTACATCTGTGATTTTATCATGATTTTATTTGACCATATCTGTATTTTAAATAATTGTGACAGCTTTTAGCTAATACAATAAACTTGAACTACTGTACTACTATTAATGTTACATATCCCATGGCTAAACTGACACATATAATGGCCCTCAGTTCCTTGCAAGCTTTGGATGGCTAAAGGGTGGTAGGAATCTCTGGGCTAAAAGTCATATTATGAACTGGGAATTTATGATGCATATGTAAAGCCGGGGGGGGGGAGTACTACTATTAATGTTACATATTCCATGGCCAAGCTGACACATAAAATGGCCCTCAGTTCCTGGCAAGCTTTGGACGACCAAAGGGTGGTAGGAATCTCTGGGCTGAAAGTCATTTAATGTTACATATTCCATGGCCAAGCTGACACATAAAATGGCCCTCAGTTCCTGGCAAGCTTTGGACGACCAAAGGGTGGTAGGAATCTCTGGGCTGAAAGTCATATCTCTGGGCTAAAAATCATATTATGAACTGGGAATTTATGATGCATATGAAAAGCCGTGGGGGGGAGAGGACAAAATACAACAAACAAAATGAAAAGGATGAACATTCAAATTATTGGACTGAGAGTACATCTACACTTGTCCTTTTGGTGAGGGCTTGTAAACCACCCAGAGGGGCCCTGGCTGCCAGATGGGCTCTCTCTCCTTCTCTCTGTGTGTAAATACAGTATATATTTTTTTGCTTCTACTAAGCTATTGCTGACAGTAATTTTTTTGCTTCTACTAAGCTATTGCTGATGCACTGAATCACTTAGATTTAATTAAAGGATCCATTTATTATTTAATAAAATTACAACCAACCCTTGAAGATTGTGTATAAGGACCAGAGATCTTTTTCCTTTTTTCCCCCCAGAAAAGCCTTGTGGCAGCTTTAAGACTTGATTAAAAAAAAAAACAACACCCTGCTCCATTAATCTTAAAGCTGCCACGAAACTCTTGTTTTTCCTTCGGCTATCGCTGTATTTGAAGCCTGGCTAAAAGGTGCAGGAGCTCACACCAGCTATTTTCACGGACACAGTTCTGGTAGACGATTGTTGATCTCCAAAGACTTTTCAGGGGTGACGCTTATATACTTAGGGGGAATATAACAACATAAATCTCAGTCTATCAAAAAGAACTCGGGACCGCAAAAAGGGCTACGCCGTCGGAACCCCTTTAGATTCGGTTGAGCTCCCAACTCCGCCACTCGTGATAAAACCCGGGGGGGGGCGTTCCTTACTGCGCGTGCGCACTAAGGTTCCCACCTCGCTTGAGTGGGCGCGGCCTAAGGAGGCTTGTCCCTTTTAGGCCGCCGTATTCCTTCCCGACCGGGGGGTGGGTAACGTCTGTTGTGTTGCCGGGGGAGGTTTGCGGAAGCGTCTCACGAAGATGGCGCTGGCCGAGGCTAACTCTCGGTACTCGGAGGGGGCCGTTGCCGCCGCCTCCGCCGAGCGACTGGACCCTCTGTCCCGCTTCACCTGCCCTGTGTGCCTGGAGGTGTTTGAGAACCCGGTGCGGGCGCCCTGCGGCCATGTGTGAGTGCGGAGAGGAGGGAAGAGGGGACGGGCTAGGCCGGGCCAAATGGGGAACGTGAGAAGGGAGGATACCCGTGTCAATGGGAAACACTCGGGGGGGGGGAAGCCTGGGGCATTTATTAAAGCCGAGCAGTTGCAGATTCCCTCACTCCTTTCCTGCCCACATGGAGTTATCTTGATTTTTCATCGAGGAAAAGCTTTGCTTCCAAAAGGAAATGGGTTTATTTTGAAAACCGCGAGTATTGCCCTGCCCTTTTATTAATATATTAGGCAGCTGGGCATTGCAAAGGATCCTTCTAGTCAGCTGCAGCAGCTACTTTCTCTTTTGCATTCGCTGTTTTCCCCCTGTTGTGTATTTCTCTGCTGTCCTGTCATCTCACAGCCTGAGGGATGTCAAAATAGCATGTCGGCCAGTATTTGGATTCGTTACTGCCCCTATATCTGGTTAGGAAAAGGCTACCGAAAACCACCAGAAACAAATGATGATGGTTAGTTCATTGGCCAGTGCAGCTGATTTTTCATATGATGAGAAAGAAGTTTTCTAGTGAGCTGCTGAAAGGAAGCACCATTAATAGCTTTATAGAAGGATTAGTTTTGGCTGAGATGCAATCCCTTCTCAGCTATTTCTAAGAAACTACTGTAATTGCAGAAGATACAATAAAATAAAAAAATTAATGCGGTCTGTTAAAGGCATGTCCTATGAAGAATTGTATGGTGGACTCTTTATTTGGAAGGAGTAGATGGACAAGAATGGTTGAGTGGGCTTGAAGTAGGAGAGAAAATGCATTAGAAGATTGGCAAAACCTGTCTGAGATGTGATGTAGATGGCTGGCTTTTGGTTTCTTCAGGATTCAGGAACCTTTTCCTGTTCTTGCCACCTCAGAGGAGCTGGCATGTATTTGTTGTCAATTCATCAGTCCTGCATCTTAGGCTGTTTTAATAAGAACTTGCAGAGACACTTCCTGTAGTTGATTTTGAAATTACATGAGAAAGATGGAAGTGAAATCTTCCATAATGCCCTGTTTATCTAATCCCACTGACATTGGGGAATTGAACTCCTAACCTCTGGCTCCGCAGCGAGATACCTAAACCACTGAGCTATCTGACCAGACTTTCCTAGATAAAGGAAATGGAAACTTTACTACAGTGGAAGAGGAAAAGATGGGAAACAACTAGCCAGTTGGTCAGCTTGCCATCAAGTTGTTTGAAAACTTTGGACAGGAATGGAAAGTCCTAGCATCTCTGGGAAATGAAACTGAAAGCAAATAATAGAGCTTATAGCTGTTTCAAAGTTCATACATTATTCTGGGCTTTAGTTATGCCTAATGTGGGCATGATATGGGGAAATACTGCAAGGAGTAGAAATCCGTGGTAATCCAATAGACATATGTCAGGAGAGTTCAGGGAAATGGAATAGAAACCAAAACTACAGTACTTATAAAATCAAATGTTTCCTTTTGTTAGTGAAGGGCGTAGTTGAACTCACAAACTTATCTCTTAGGTGTGCTAGTATTCATATTTTTGGTGGAGCATTAAAAGTTGGAATAGAGGCAAGAATAAATCAGTAGCACTTTAGTACAGTATCTGAAACAGATCTGAGCTTGTGAAAATAATTTGATTATAAGTGCTAGAAATATGCTAGCCTGGTCTTCCCCAGCTGGGGGATGGCTGGACTTGCAGTCCAACAGATCTGGAGCATGCCAGGTTGTGGAAGGCTAGCCTTTTTTGATAACATTTTCTAAAAATTATTCTGGGCTCTTGGGCCATGAATAACAGCCAGACGGTTTGAGGTTTTTAGGAACCAGCATGTGAAATGGGCAGTTTATCCTCATCACTGTAGAGAATAGACCAGCAGCTAATTCTGGAAATGGCTCAGTGTCACTACTTACATGGAATACCACTACATCTATTTTGTTTTCACTGGATACAATATATGCAGCTTCCCCATGCCATTGATTGAGAAGGCATACAGTTGGTTGCATAATTGCTTTTCTACATAATGCAGAAGTGACAACAAATGATTATATGAACACACTTGATTAGATGCGAGTGGCTGGAAAATTAACATAAGAAGATCCCTGCCAGATCAGGCCAAGGGCCCATCTAGTCCAGCTTCCTGTATCTCACAGTGGCCCCACCGGATGCCTCTGGGAGCACATGAGGCAACTACATACCTGTCTCCTGATACCCCTCCCCTGCATTTGACTTTTTTAAGTACCTTCCTTTGAAGCCTGGAGATTATACATCCCCACCATGGCTTGTAACCTATGATGGACTCTTCCTCCAGAAATCTGTCCAATCCCCTTTTAAAGGCATCTAGGCGAGATGCCATAACCACATCCTGTGGCAAGAGGTTCCACAGACTAACAATGCTTTGGGTAAAGAAATATTTTCTTTTGTCTATTCTCACTCTCCCAACATTCAATTTGAGTGGATGTCCCCTGGTTCTAGTATTGCATGAGAGGGAAAAGAGCTACCCTCTATCCACTTTATCCATCCCCTGCGTAATTTTATGTCTCAATCATGTTTCCCCTGAGGTACCTGTTCTCTAGACTAAAGAGCCCCAAATGCTGTAGCCTTGCCACATAAAGGAGGTTCCCCAGCCCAGTCATCATTTTAGTTGCTCTCTTCTGCACCTTGACTTTTCCAACCTTTCACATCTCTATTCTTAGTCATGGCTCCATATACAGCAGTGGTCCCCAACCTTGGGCCTCCAGATGTTCTTGGACTTCAACTCCCAGAAATCCTGGCCTATAGAGGTGGTGGTGAAGGCTTCTGGAAGTTGTAGTCCAAGAACATCTGGAGGCCTAAGGTTGGGGACCACGGATATACAGGACCAAATAAGTCAGTTGATTATGACTTATTGTGACCTTTTCTAGAGATTTTTAGATAGACAACACTCAGAAGTGGTTTACTATTCCCTTCTATTGGAGATATCCTTGGACTGTGCAGCTTGCCCAAGGCATGTAGGTTGGCTCTACTCGCAGGAGTAGATATCTAAACTGCTGACTCAATCAACCCCAAATATAGCTGTCCTGTAGTAGGATGGTTTTATATCTTTCCTTTTTCAAGTGCAAGAGTTACAGTAATTTGAAATGTATTCCTCAGATTTGTAACATATTTTTGTTCTTAATACTATACAGTGGTGCCTTGCATGACGACGTTAATTCGTTCCATAAAAATCGCTGTCGAACGAAAATGTTGTCATGCGATTTTAAAAAGCCCATAGAAACACATTAAAACCCAATTAATGCGTTCCTATGGGCTTAAAACTCACAGTCCAGCGAAGATTCTCCATAGTGTGGCCATTTTCGCTGCCCGTGCAGCGAGGAATCCATGCCAGAAAACAGTGGGCGGCCATGTTTTTCACCCGGCGGCCATTTTGAAACCGCCGATCAGCTGGCCGAAAATCGTCGCTTTGCGATGATCGGTTACCGAAACAGGGAACCGATCATCGCAAAGTGAAATTCCCCCATAGGGAACATCGTTTTGCGATCACTTTTGCAATCGCAAAATCTTCAACGTAATGCGATTTCGTCGTAAAACGGAGCGCTCGTAAAGCGAGGCACCACTGTAGTTGGAAACTAGTTGTCAGTTCTTACCTACCAATTAGGTCTGGGTGTTATATTTCTAACACAGCAGCTTTAAACTTTAGTAACAGTTGTGCTAGTGATTCCCTGGCATTATGTTGTACTGTTTTAGTGGTGACTCACTTTGCCTACTATCAGAAGTGAAAGCCATTGGGGAAGCATGCCACCTTTTATATCTTTAAAGTTTTTTATGCCAAGCAGATCTTTTTATACTGCTTAGGTATATAAATAAGAATTGAAATTTTTGAATGGGACATGAAGTTGAATATGGGGTCCGTTGAAGTTATCTGAAATTGCTGGGTGGAAGGGAAGCATCATTTGAGATGTTTCCTTTAAGGTTACACTGTCACATGTTGAATGGATTGCTGGTGTATCTATTTGTAACTTCTTTGGGGTTGTGAGAAGGGGCACATTGACTTCATTCTCTGCCATGCAAATGTTCATACTGTATCTTTTCCCCCATTAGCTTTTGCACGCCGTGCATTCAAGAATGTCTTAAACCAAAAAAGCCAGTTTGTGGAGTTTGCCGCAGTACCCTGTCTCATGGCAGCAGAGCTTTGGACTTGGAAAAGCAAATTGAAATGACAGAAGCTACTTGCAATGGCTGCAATAAAAAAGTATGAAAAGCCTGACAGTATTTACCTATGTATAACATGAATGCATTTAGAAGCTTTCTCTTTTGATTATAACTGCCAGGATCTCATGAACACAACTGAATTTCAAAAGGCTGCATTACTACAGGAGTAATTTAGAATCTGCAGACCTGGCCTCAGGTGGAAGGACTTCAAGTATTAGATTTGTGCTGGAGGTGGTGAAGGAATATATGCAAGATCTCTTACATCTTTTCATGGCTTGATTATAAACTGAGAAGCAGCTTCCATGGAAATTAAAATTCATTAAACTGTTGTTATAATGCACCTACAGTGGGCCATGGTAAACTTTTTAGTTTAGGATTCATGTAATAGTGGGAGGTTTTGCATGTACTGTACAAGCTGACATCTTAAATAGAAATTGGCAGTTCTGTTACTGCCTTGAGCCAAAGTTATTTCCAGAGTAGAATTTCTTATTATTTCATGGGAACAGACATGAGTGAAGAGCAATGAAATTAAAAACCAGGTTGGTAGAAGAACTATATATGCTCTTGGTGTGCTCTGGAAACCAGATAAGATGCTAAGGGCTTAGTGCTCTTAAGCTGTGCTAGATCACTAACAGCTTGGGATCTGGAACTGATAAAATAGAATAAACTCCATAAAATTGAAATCATTGTGACTGTTGAAGGAGGTACATATTACACTGTGAAGACTTACAAAGAATAACTCAAATGTGACAACTTCAGATTCTTATTGGTAGATACCAACAAATATTCTTGAAGCATGCTGAACCATTCAATTTGATGGTAAAAACATTTTGACAGTGTCAGATGATTTCCGAATCTGACCTCAGTATAGGATATGCCTCTGCAAAATATGAAAACAGTGGACATTAAGCTCTGTTTTTCTTTACCTTCTGGTGTTCTAGTTCTGAAAAGACCTTGGTTTTTAATTATGAAGGCATACAGTATACAGAAAAAAGTTGTCCACACACCACAACTTCAAGGATGTACATGTTGATCTATGGCACTAGTGATATTATTTTGTCAGACTGGAAAATTTTAAAAGTGTATCAGTTGAAGTAACCACTGTTAGCAGATTGTGTTGTGCAGATCTATAAGGTCTGATTTGGTGCATATAAGTGAAATTGTAGCCTGTTCATCTTCAGGGAATGAAAGATAAGAATGCACAGCAGTCAGGAAAACAAGATGTCAGCTATCCAAGGCATTGTAAAGAATCTTAAAGCTTTGTGGCAATGTTGGGGATCAACTTAACCTGATGGATTCCTTCTATAGCTATACTTGGTGACCAATAGCCTGCCACAATTCAGTGTAGTTGAAACATTAAATGGATTTTCTTATGTGCTCCAGGGGACATAATCTTTCTTGGTAGCTTGAAGCAGTTGCAGTTGCTTTGACTGTGCTAAGTAGCATATTTGTCTCTGTACAGATGAACCTCTCAAAGCTGCGTGGCCATGCAGCTGCTTGTACAAAGTACCAGAATTACATAATGGAAGGTGTTAGAGCTGTGACTAAAGATCCATCACAGGATGCCAGGTAACTCCTTGACGAAATTGGCTTGCTTGATCAGAATGGAAGTACACATGTATTGACAGGATTCAAACTGGGTTTTGATGTATCTTGAACAAATAAACTTGGAGGTCTACTCTGTTGAAGTGACGGATTCTTGAATTTTGCTGTTTGAATCCTTTGTAAGGCTGCTCTTAATTTGAATTTAACTTTGCCACTCCTGTCGTCTATGTCAAGATCTCTGCCAGTGTTTATCAGTATATCAATATATTATTAATATATCTGGTTTCACTTGAAAGGTGCTTTAGGAAAAGTTACTATATTTTACAGAAAGCTTCCAGTTGGGTGAAATCGCCACCACTCAAATTATTGTTTTATTTTATTTATTATTAGACTTAATACCCTGCCCCTCTAGACAACGTCTACTCGGGGCGGCTTACATGAATAAAAGCACAGCTATATAAACAATATAAAATCATCTAAAACACAATTTTAACACTTATTTCTAAACAGCATATTACCAAGATGGCATAACTCAGAAAGATGGGGATCAGCTAGTTGACTGGAGGGAAGGCCTGCCTGAAGAGCTAAGTTTTTAAATTAGACATTGGATCCAGCTTTAAGATCTTATTCACAAGTACAAGTTAGGGGATGGGAAGATAATAATCTCAGGTTATATTTATACAACGGAATAGTGTGAGACTGCTCCACTTGGTAGCTAAACAAATCAGAGTTAGTTCAGAAGCAGGCTGCTGAGCGGTGAAGCCCTGGGGTATAATTGTTCCTAAGTGCTCAGTGTTGAGCTTTAGGGTTAGAAAAGTACAAAGCAAATTAATTACCTCAAATTAGCAATGCACTACAACATGATGAGAATGTCTTTTCCTCTGTATCCTGAAGGTGTATGGGGGCAGTGTGGCAATGGAGGAAATTTCATTCAGATGACTTATACCTTGTGGAATCCCTGATGTAGGCTATACCAATGGCTAACTTATTTCTCAACAGTTGCTGCTCAACTAATGTTTCTAAGTTAAAGAAAAGAATTGCTACAAAAGTAGGAAATTATTTCAATAAAGCTGACAGCATAATGTACAAAAATAGTACAGTGCTAGGATCCAGTCATAACACCTCATAAGCTTTATTGGAGTTATTGCTGGGCATTAGTGAGTGTGCATCAATACCTTTTTCTTTGTGGTATCTGTTCTGGATTGCATGCCTTTGCTGGGGGTTGCCTTATTAGTTTTATGTAAACTGCTTTGTGTGGGAACCTTTTCTGTCTGAATGTGAGGGTTCTGTTTCTGGCTCCTTTTGTTGTTCGAATAAACTGGGAAACTTTTGCATTTTTGAAATAGGAGTAAGGTTTATTGGGGTATTTAACAGGTAACCGGTATCAACAGGCTTGTTCCAATGTCTTTCTCCTTCTGGCAGCGGGTCGGGCAGGGGGTTCCAATCTTCTTCTAGGAACGAGTTATTTTCACCTGTGTCACATGGACCCAGCCAGTCTATAAATTCTGGTCTACCCCTTGTCCCGGTTAACCTTCCAACAGGGGCACGGTGTCTTCATCCCAGTCATTCACCCACATGGGGCATCCGGAGGGTGTGGGGGTCTACCAGGGTCCTCTCGGTAGTTCTTCATCTGCATTTCTCTCACCCTCCATTCCAACCTCTCTCTCCTTTCTCTATCTACCTTCTCCTTTTCTTCTCTCAGCTTCCGTCTCCATTCCCTGGCCTCAGCTTTTCCTCAGTATGATGGTCTCTGGGAAATCTGCCTCCTCTTTTGGTATCCTTAGTTTGTCCCAAGCCCCAGTCCAGGGATCTTCCGTTCAGACCCATTTCTAGCCTGGGGGGTAACTGTCCTTCCTCCCTTTTTATCTCCGCTGTTCCCGCCTCAGTCTCCACCCTCTCCTCCCGTTCTGTTCCCACCATCCTCCCTTGAGTTCCTTTAGCTGTTAATGTCCACATCTCTCGTTGTAATTCTTGGGTGTCTGTCCCCAGTTGTTCTGTTTTCTTGGGGGGTGAAGCAGGCAGGGTCTGTACCTCTTTCCCAGCAGTGTGGGAGAGGGACAACACTCTGGCAAGAGGGATACTACTCTCACCCCCTGTCTCACACTGAACAGGGAAGTAAAAATGCTTTCAAAATAGTTAAAAAGTATTTAGATTTATAGCATCCTCAACTTAGTGTATATCCCTCCCCTTTTTCTCCCACTCTTCTCCACAATACCAAAAGCAGGTAAGGCTTTTGCTTTTTTTAAGCAAACACTTTGAGCCAGGAAATTTCTAAAGTAGCTTTGAGCCAGTAGTACAACCTCAGGCTCAGAGCTCTTCGTACTTGACTGACAGTGTCTTTCCCCAGAGGACTTGCAGGCAAGTAGGATTCTCTGATTTGTTCTGGCTTGAGAAAAGTTAAGAGTAGGCTTATGATCTCATAGAGCTGAAGTTTTTCTCATTTCTTTTTGCAGGAGTGTTCCAAATAGATTCACATTCCCTTGCCCTTATTGCAGTGAGAGAAACCTGGACCAGGAAGGACTGGTGGAACATTGCAGAAAGTACCATAGCATGGATGCAAAGCGCGTGGTAATTGAGTCACTTTCTATGGAAGAAGAATTCCTTTAGTACTGTACAGCCTAACCCATTGATCTGTGATCCATTGTTATAGCGTTTAAAGTGAAAGTTGCTTCTTGAAGGATTATGGTCTATACTTAACAAAAAGAGGTTTTCTAATTGTATTTATTCTCTTGGATTTTGCTATTCAAAGAGCATTTGCAGCGTTTCATTCATTAGAAATGTTTCATTTTAAAAAGAGGCAAACACTTGTCAGTTCAGCAAGGTCAACAATAATAAACTTGTGGTTCATGAAGTTCAGAAGCAGAGGTGCAAGGGCAGAAGGAGCAAAGTTTTCCACTGCATCATGATTTACTAAATGTTTCTTGCATCTTCTGAATTTTTAAACTTAAAAAAAATTATGAACACCTACATTGCTGGTTTATTTTAAAGATCATTGTTTTCAATTTACCTGCATGTAATATTTCTTTGAATACTTCAAGAACACCAGTTTAGCCAACCTATTTTCCTTAATGCATGTTTTGGATGCACATTTGTTATGTCATCTCATAGCTAAAGAATTATAATTCCATTTGTCAATTTGGGCTTTTCCAATTTGCTCATCCTGATGTACACTAGGACGATGGTATCCATGGGGAATTGGTTCCAAGCACACACACCTGTAGATGCTGAAAAACTGTAGACTGTCAAATGTTATACATTGTATAGTTTCTGGCTTATTGTAATGGCCAGTTTTGGTAAATACACCCTGGATACATATACGTATTTCTGAAGTTTTTTATTTACTATTTTCAGGCAGCAGATAATTGTATCAGTGGATACTGATCCTGCAGATAGGGGGGTCCTGCTGTACTCTCTTCTGCTTGCTAGAAAGCTATTCTAGAAGGTCAGGAAAACCTTAAACAACAATGTAACATATTGAAGGATACTGTAATTTGGTGAAAATCAAAGACCGACTTTCATGGAGGGAACTGATTTCTGTCCCAGTGATTTATTTAGGCTGGTTGCTGATAGACACTTTGGATGTAAACCTTTGAAAATAATTTTAGTGGACATTTATTCACTATATTTAGAAAGGATATCTAGCTAAACTACCACTTCTTACAGGTTTGCCCGATTTGTGCAGCAATGCCCTGGGGCGATCCAAACTACAGAAGTGCTAACTTCATGGAACATATTCAACGGCGGCATCAGTTTTCTTATGATACTTATGTGGTAAGTGGAAACTGGAAAACTTGGTCTTCATTATTTAAGTAGCAAAATGCTAGACTTTATTTTTAGCTTTTTTTCCCCCTTGCACTGTCTTTTTCTACTACACATTAAGAAACATTGCAACCTTCTAATTGTTATCTTTTCCATGAAAAAAAAAGTGGTCTTTAAATATAACTTTAGAGCAGTAATTCCCCACTTTGGGTACCCTGAATTTTTTTGGACTAGAACTCCCAGAACCCTTCACCACTGGCTGTGCTAGCCAGGATTTCTAGACATTGTAGTCCAAGAACACCGGGGGACTGAGAACCACAGTTTTAGAGACATACTGTAGGTAAACTGTGCCACAGACATTTCCTGAACATGCATAAAATGTAGGAGGATCTTTGAGGAATTTGGGTTTAAGTTGCTTAACATCCTACTGAAAAAAAAACAAGAAATGGAAGAAAGAAGGAAAACCTTATTTGCATATAACTCTTCTTTTTTTGTGTATGCCAGGGGACTGAGAACCACAGTTTTAGAGACATACTGTAGGTAAACTGTGCCACAGACATTTCCTGAACATGCATAAAATGTAGGAGGATCTTTGAGGAATTTGGGTTTAAGTTGCTTAACATCCTACTGAAAAAAAAACAAGAAATGGAAGAAAGAAGGAAAACCTTATTTGCATATAACTCTTCTTTTTTTGTGTATGTTTAGGATTATGATGCTGATGAAGATGATACAGTGGCTGAAGTTCTGGTCCGTTCCTTAATGGAACAATGAATTAGCAAGAAATTCTACATACTTGGCTTCCACTGGGGAAAAATACTAGGGACTGTTCTTCCCCAAGATGCTTTGGCATCCATAAACTAATTTCCTTGGTTCTTGTTCTTGCAGTTTCCATACTTGATACTTGTTCTCTTCTAGTGCTACTTCTCTTACTCCTTACCTCTCCAGAATATCTTTATTTTATTTTAATCTTCTGAGAGCCTTTTTTTTTTTGGCTCGGTTTCCTTCCATTTCAACTTCTAAGGCCTACACTGTAAATCATCAGGAGTTTGGCAATAACTTCACTTGCAAACATCTACCAGTATTATTGTACTCTTTTACAGAACTGGGCACTAGAACTTCAGTTTTCCTACATGTGTAAAGATTTTCATTACTAGATTAAAATTTTGGAAATAGTTATGGTTTTCTTGGTTTGTGTATTGGAATACTGTATTGGAGTTACAAATCCAGCTTTTCAAAAGTTGATGATAGTCCTTGCAAATGCATAAAGCCCTGAGGCTAAATCCAGTTGTGTTTTCACAACTAGAATAGACCCATTAAATCAGTGTTGATTTATCAGTTTCCAATTCAGTGATTCTACTTAGGCTCTGGCTGTAAGTTGTCTCACTTTTACAGTATGCCTTTTTGGTTAAACAGCTATACAGTAACTTCTGAGAGTTAAGAGACAGTTAGTTAAAGTCAAATTCAGACTTGTTTGTCTTGATACCTCCCTATTGTTGATATTAATTTAGAGTTCAGCTCTGATGGGGTTTTGCTACACATTATATCATTTCTGTTTTTTTGAATTCATAATAATACCCTTGTATATGTCTACCTCTATGCCTAGGATTGAAAACCAATTGAGAGCAGGAGATGCTGTAACCCTTAGCACCTAGTTCCTTTGGCTCTGGAGTGGACAAAGTGTGGCTGTCTGGGTGTCATTGGACAGCCACTCACACAGCATTCGTCACCACTGGCTGTGTTGGTTAGGTCTCAGTTCTTGTGGGATTCCCATTTCAACAGCCCATGGAAGGCTGCATTTTCCCACTCTGTCATTAGACAAAACAAATGTCAGTCTATTGTGCTTGTAAACTGCACTTTAGTCTTTGATACAAAGATGTAATGAATTAATGAGTGGAAATTCCATTCGGAAAATTCAGTGTTTGTGTGCTTATTTTGCAGATGGTCACATCCTGAAATATTAAACTGCCATGGTTCATAAACCTGCAGTACAGAGAAGCTCTGGTTCTTACATGCATTATTTGCTTCTGATGTTACTAGACTTATTCTGGTTTTTATCCATGTATACTGAGCACATATTTGCATTGAGTGGGAGATGGGAAAAGGACTATGTATAGCTGTGTACAACTAGGAGGCCTACTGAGGATCAAACGCTTACAAGCATGCATCACCATTGCTGATTTCTTCAGAATTCAGGGTATGGGCTGAGATCAGCAAGTACCAATCCATGTCCTCATGACATCGGGAAAGTATATGGGAAGACAGAGCAAAGGGTTGTTACAACTGAAGTGCGAACTATTTATCTTCAATAATTTATTTACTTTTTGTGAATGTGTACATTTTACCATGTGGTGGTACATTCAGTGTACAAACATGCTACAGAGACTCCATGTTAAAAGTGTGTTTGAGAACTGAGCCAGATTTCTTTAAGCCACTTGCGTTAAAAGTGAACTGAGCCAGATTTCTTTAAGCCACTTGATACTCCAAATGGCTTACTGTTTGTTTAATGACAACTTTTTTGCACTAAGCATTATAAGTGGAACTGATGTGAAGTTTATGATGGTAGAGCTGGTGCACATTGGCACACATATCTAGCTCAGCAGCCATGGCATGTTGAAATCTGAGGCTACAGTGTGTGGTGCTGACAACCTTGGCTCCATTGAGGACCTTGAACCAACAATAATATGGCACAATTAACGATACTGTCTTGCTGCAGAAATAATCTAACTGCCAACTGCTTATGCTGACTTCAAGATGCTACTCTGTTTGTAGACTGTTTAACCCTCATAAAAAAAATAATCAAGAGATTTCAGTTGCTGGGATGTTTGTCCCATTTAAGAGATCCCCACTGATACTCTTGAGACTGGCCAAGATGCAGAGAATGCTTATGATGTTCTGCCCCTTTGCAAGTTCACCTTCCTGCTGTAGGCCCTTGTATGTGTCTCCACTCAGATCTGCTCTTGAGGCTCAAGGGACACTCCAGAACAGCATTCCATAGTGGAGCCAGAATGGAGCACTGGCTGCTCATTCACATATGCATGGAAGTGCCTTCTGCGTGCATGTGGGTTTCTTTGGATCTTGGCCGTTATCCTCTACATTTTCAGTAACTGACACTATTCTTCCAACCACCTGTGGATTCCATAGGATCTGGATATTCTTATCCATAAATATGCCAGACTTTTTCTTGTTGTTCTTTTATTCTAAGTGCACTTCTTGTAATTTTAATAAGAATTTTAGAATTTCAGAATTATCTTATTCTGGCCTTTAAATGAAGAAAATGTAAATAAAATTAATTGACAAAATCTTATGCATGGAAATCTTTTATTCTTATGAGAATTTTCAGTAGCTGTTGTGCAACAAGAATCTTACTCCAATTTATAACCCTCCTCTGTTACTGCACTGCAAAATAAAACAGTGTTTATGGATTTTTTTAATCGAAGACATCCTCCTATTGAACTAAGTTGAGTGTTGGAATTTCTATAGTGGAAGATCCTGTGGTGCTGCAGAGTGGACCGAAATAAAGCCATCAGCCAGTATTCTGTTCAGTATTTACAGGTGCAGCACTCCAGCTGCAAAAGCCACTGTGAAGGTTGGACATGTGCCTGATAGTGCTTGTATATCATCAGACTGCTGGGGCACGCAGCTTCTGCAGTAGGAGCTCCACATGTATGTAAATATTGAACAGGATGCTGATCATCATACTTATGACAGGGTCTGCTGCAAGACCCAAATGATGCAAGTTAATATCCTTCCCTACTTAAAAGATTCCTTTGGTTTACTATGTTATCTTGAGGTGGGTTTTTTTGTACTAAAGCAGTACATGCATGTAGAGAGAAAAATGTCCAGTCAAGTTTGGATATACAGTAATTTGCTTTAAATTCTAAGAAATATGTATTGAGATTCATATTCCATGCTAAGTTAGGAATGTACAAAGTACAGCTTGTAGATATTATTGGATTTCAATTTTCACCATTACTGGGCAGTGATTGTATTTCCAAGGACTGCTGACAGTTATGATTCCAACAATATTTGGTGCCTGTGTTTTACCCACTGATCATATCCTTCCACATAAGTGGAAGGATATGATCAGGCCTCCTAAGGTGATTTTAAATTGTTTATAATAAACCCAGTGCTAGTGTGTCACCTACATACTGTGGTGCTTGAACACAAACACGTGCTTAACATGTAGCCAGAGGGTAAGATTACCCAGTTGTTTATGTAGGTGCTGCTGCTATAAGATGTAATGGGTACTTCATGCTTAATTGGACATGTTTCTGTGTTCAGAAGCTATCCTGGAGAGAGTGATTAAAGTTGATGGGAAGCCAGCTCTGCTTTCTCCCTATTCAAAGCTGTAACTAGCTATGCCGGACATTTAGCAATCTGTGGCCAGTTCGGCAACTGTAGACTTCATTTGGAGAAGGACTCTGTGTCTCTTTTGGTGTTTGCCATGCTAAGTGCTTTCTATAGTACATCAAGTGTTGCTGTATGTCTGTTTAACCATGTAAGCATGTCCAGGATCTTTATTTGGCAAGGCAGGCCAAGCCTATGCAACAAGTACTGTATTTTAAAAAAATGTAGGTGTGGCCTGTTTGCTGGGGAGAGTAGTGATTCAAAAACACTCCGGTTATAAGTATTGTTTGTATTTCTGTTGCTTCAGAAAATGCTGATATTCTCATGGTGAACATGATTATCTCATAAAGCATTGAGTGTTCCTGAGTCTCTTAAAGAGTGACAAAAACATGAAAAAAAGCAGCTTTTTAAACTTAAATGAGCACTTATTCCAGTAAAAGGGGAAAGTAGTACATGTTAGATGATACACAGATGAATTCGTCTCATAATTTAGTTAGGGGTGGCAAAGTTTGGCCCTGTCGGTAGACTGCAGCTTCCAGTGTTCCTTGTGAGACAGGCGGAGGCTGCTGGGAGTTACATTCCAACAACATCTGGTAGACCACATATTGCCCATTTCTGATCTAGCTGACGTTAGATTCTGTAATAGTTGCCAGGGATAGTAGATTTGTTTCAATGTGTTAGGCTAACACTATCCTGTGCAATGGGGTGGGAGATCTTTGGTTCTTCTGCTCTTACAGTTACCAGAATCCATTATCTGAGGCAAATGAGAGTTGATCTCTGAAACACCTGGAGGACCACATGCTGCCCACCCTATTTGTAAGGCCTCATCTCCCTAACGTTGTCTGTACTATAGACTCTATACAACCACCAGCAGCCCATGTTTAGGGCTATGCATGGGGCTAACCAGAAAACTAAAACACCCACTAATTTGGAAGCTGTGAAAGAGCTGATGGTGTAGGACGAAAGGAAAAGATGCAATGCTGTCCTTATCAGACTAAACTCCATTTTATTCTTTCTACATAAAATGCCTCCCTCAACAGATCATGTGAAACTGTACTATTTGGTGTATGTACGAAATGGTACACAGTATGTTTTGCAAATTTATTGAGAGGTGAAACCAACCTCAGTTCAATGAAATGTACTTGCATTTCATGGAGCCACTGTGTGTGCATTTTATGTATACCTACAGTCGGGAGGAGGGGGGATAAAACTGCAAACTGGGTGCCATGCTAGACTTGCTGCAGAGTGCTCTGCTCCAGAAAAGCTGATGTCACAACAGTATTACTTGGGTTCAGTTCTCTTTGCTGGGTCTGTGTACATAACCACCCGTCACGTGCATGGTTAGGCTTTTTTCCCCCAGTTATGCACAAGGAGGGATATTGTATGCTAGTTCAAGCTCCATTTGTTATAATATGGCTATGTCTGGCTTGCATAACAGCAAATAGGAGATTGCGTGGAGCACTGAGAGCAGATTGTGACGACCTGCCTGCACTCCAACAGGATACTGACCTTTGTCTTTAAGACAATATTAGACACTCTCAGTATTTCTGTTGTCCTTGAACCTATCCTTTATTTCCATGTCATCTAAATTAATAGTGACATCTGGACAGAAGAGGGTGCTCTTACACTTCTTTAGAACAAAGGCTTGTTAGGCAGCAGTGAAGAACATAAATATAACTTAGTACATCCTTCAGCATTGTTTTTCTGCCACGAAGTGACCATTGTTTCTTAAAATATCTCCCATGCACTGTATGCAGCTAGTTGTCTTGATAATGAATGTCAAAGTGAATATTTAAAATATTGAGAACTCTAAGCTGGAACTCAGTTAC